CATTACACTTACAAATGTTATCTCTCGATCAAAATCAACAATCTNTATGACTTACCATACTAGCAAACATGCATCCTAAACTCCACATATCTAATGAGTAATCATATTCCTAATAAATTGTAATAATTGTTCATGTTAATGTCATTCAGAAATATTGCAAGCTGGATAGCATAAATTTATAGTTTTTATATTAAACTCGATTACCTCGAAATCAACTAAGAGTTCAGGTCCTTTAAAATAACGAGATGCGACGCGAACATTATAACTCGTTCCAGGGTGATAGAATTCAGCAAGACCCCAATCGATTAGCCTTAATTTGCCATGTTCATGATCAATCATTACATTATGTGGCTTAACATCCCGATGCATGATACCCATACTATGGCAGAAATCTAAAGCCTACAAGAAAATTACGTATTAAAACATAAGTAAATATCAGTCAACATGTCAAGAACCATCATAGCTGCTAGTAATATGATCATATCAGTTACAGATCTAAATCTTACCCTAAGCAATTCATATAAATAATAACGTATATCGTAATCCGATAATGTTTGATATAGTTGCTGTTAACAAATTATAAAATTACAATTAGAATTATCGTTTCTATGTTACGATATATTGTGAAGCTTTGCACAAGAATCGAATGTAGTTTTTAATTGTAAGTGAATAAAGATGTACCCAATGTTAGATTATATAATCAAGCAAAAAGTTTCAAACTATTGCAGTACCTTGAAGTCCGTATTGTTGACATATTCAAAAATCAAAGCGGGAGTGCGAGACTAATAAAATGTAGATCAAAGGATAACATCAACGTTGGACATGTTGCATTAAAAAGATCAATCTTCAATTAAGAATAACCAACTTCAGCTAAATATGTACTATGTCGTAGATGATCACTTTTACGTTAGAAATTGATTGCTAGGGCTTACCATAGGATCTTTGACTGTTGCTCTTAATGTAATTATGTTCGTGCCGCCACGAAGATTTTCCAAAATTTTAATTTCACGCTTAATTTTCTTCTTTTTTACCGGCTGTTTGGAATAAGATGATAAAAATAACAAGAAAAATGAGCTAATGAATTGATCGAGCGGTTAAGAAATTGCAATTATTCTGTTATGAAGTAAGGTTCTATTGCAATTGTCATTGATAATCGATTTCCGCGTCCTATGTGAACATACTTAGGTATGAACTACGGCAATTAGCAAGTAGTGAATAGAAAAAGGTAATATGCAAAATAGATTTGAAAGTAGCATTTTATGATTCTTTATCAATAAGCATATTCTAAACTATACTTGAGTTTCCGCATATTACAATAGCTATATTGAAGAGCTATTTCTTCTACTGCCAGTATTCATTTTACCTTTAAAACTTTGACAACCGTCTTCGAATTGTCTCTAATATCAATTCCTTCAAAAACTTCACTATACTTTCCTCTACCAAGTTTTCGAACTAATTGGTAGTTATCTTGATCGCTAAAAAAAAAAGTACCATTTGAGTCATGAGTAAAACTATTCGTTGTAGATGAAATAATGACGATTGATTTAATTTATACTTTACAAAATGAAATAGGAGGATTGATTCAATTTTTATTGTACTGTCTATAAGCAATTATAATGGATTCTAGTATTCTTTTTCTTCTTTTTGCAACAAGTTTTACAGTAGGCAGGGAGTAAATGACAGTAATAGGATCCATTACAAGTAGAAATTATGGTGTATTCTATATCTTGCTTGTACTCTATGGTAAATACTGTCTAATAACGTGAAAGAATGGAGGCAATCCCAACTGGCATGTATCATGAAACGTTCAGCATTGGTTTTTTTTTTGAATTTTATTGGGATACTTTGGAAGAAATTATCATGATTGATTATTACTGTCTTACTCAATGATGGAAGATGAAAAATAAGAAAAGTATAGACATTGCTATTCTATTCACTTGTATAACTAGTATTGTCGATATCCATGTCTATTGCTAGTGTAGTCGTTATTAACGTTGAAGTGGATAGCCTTTATTTGAATTTTAAGTTGACAACCTTTAGTCAATGAAGAGTAACTGCATGTCATGATTTAAAAAAAAAGATTAGTTGACGACGTTAAAGTCAATATCAATCGCTATGCATGGTCATGACGGTAAGGAAGAATGATGGATAGAAAGATAGATTGGCTCATTGGAAAGAATTGGAGGGTTCTCGCTATTTTGACGGTGATGTTACCAATGCTGTACGTCTATGTTAGCGAGTTTTGTACTGCAGAGTAGGAGTACGTCAAGCGACTGGTTTACAGTACACCGTGTGTAGACCTCCAATTTTCCCCAATCATTTCTTTACCGCCTTTGAAATAATAACTAAAGTCAAGAATATTGACTTGGCTAGCATTGATCTTTGAAGCTATCTGCTATTAAGATTGATTTTTTTTGGGGGGGGGGTATAGACTGGATTTTCCAAATTGGTTTGGATACAAGTGGGACAAGAAGAGTGCATCCATGGATGCAGTTGACTGTAGGGCTATTGTTTAGACTGGATCAATCATCAACTACTCGTCAACTAGTGTAAAAATACGGTTAAAATGGCCTATCAAAGGATGTCTTAGTGAACGTGTAGTATCTAGTAAATTATTGCAATAGGCTAGATTGGACAAGAGAGGTAAAATGATAGCTCGCCAAGCATTGGAATAGATTGCATTGACGAATCATTGGAAGTTATATTAATACTTACGACCAGTTGACAATGTAAGATTCATAATCCCAGTACTCGCGTGGCTTATGCGTATTGACATCGGCGTAAACGCGAGCACGACTGATAGGCATTTTGTTGACGGCGTCCTTCGCGATTCCGCTTTGAAAATAGTCTTGAAGGAGTACTGGCAAGAACGATCTGAACTTGATGGAGGCTAATGGCAATGGAGAGAGTTGAAATGGCTAAAATAGACAACCATTGAAGACAATTGTTCAATTCTTCCCGCTTATGGAGTTGGTCTGGCAATGACGACGATCAACGAAAGTCCAGTATAGTCGTTGGCGGTTAATGTGCCTACAAGTAGACTCAGTACTGGCTATGGTATCGAAGAGTCTGTAGTCAAAATGAAGCCACGACGCGTTTGGATGTACAGTACGCTACGCTAGGAGGATTCGACTGCATGGAGGGATACAGTCGAGTTTTGTCGGCCTTCTCCCTAGACGGACTATCATACAAAATCCTACAGTGTATCGCCGTGATTGAGTACACTCACTCTCTTCAACTCCAATCGATTGAAGTCAATTGAACCATGCTCGTCACCCGTAACCGTGGTCACCAATCGCTCACAAAGCTTATTGGAGTACAGTACAGTAGAAAACGCTGTACTGTACAGTACTGTAGATTGGAGTAGAAAACGCTGTACTGTACAGTATGTACTGTACATTGTAGATTGGAGTACTGTAGAAAACGCTGTACAGTACTGTACTGTACAGTGTACAGTACTGTACAGTATGTAGATTGGAGTAGAAAACACTGTACTCTACAGTATGTAGATTGGAGTAGAAAACGCTGTACTGTATGGACATTGGAGTAGAAAGGAGCTTTTCTGCCATTTTGCCTACAGCCAAGCGCAACTCTTTACCTCTACCATGGCTGTATTCTACACTGGACTGTACTATCGTGCATGCAGTAAGCATCAAATGCAGCCACGATAGTAGAGTCATAGATGAAAGTAGTTGTACGCTTTTACTGTACTGTACTATGAAGTCGAATCGAGACAAGAAGGAATAGTTTTCTCCCAGTCGACGACTCCATCATTTTGTTTCATACTGTACAATTTACAGTACTACTGTTAACTCATTTTACTCTACTGCTATACAGTACTGTACAGTACAGTTGCTAGACTTTCTTAAATCAACTGTACAGTTTATAGGCACAAATAGGATCGTGATAGACACGGTGTTAGCCAAGACAATAATAAATAAACTATGGGGAAAAAAAAAAAACCTAGCCAAACACTTCATAAAGTATTAGTCGTCCTGTGCACTCTACAGGACAGTAGTTATCATTACTGATAGAAGCCATATCTCGTCCTTTTCTCTGCTCCATTCGTTCATCGTACTGCAAATGTACCATAGTCTGTCTGTCTGAGATTTGAGCCAAATTTCTCTCTTTACGTCTCTCTATACAATACTGTACTGTACTAAATGAAAGTACACCTGATCACCTGATACAGCTCTGAGTGATACAGTATTATAGTCTGTATTGTATGGCGTAGTCGGTATTGGCATGGGTTTTTTTCATCTCGCTAGTGTATTGCTACTTCGACAGATGCAACATAGCGCTAGAAGTCCTTAGAAGTTTCTGATAACTCGTGACAAGTCCGTAGGCCAGGCTAGTGTTAATTAATCCCTAATATTATTATTATTACTTTATGATTCCTGCTCGATTTTTACCAGCAGCAGAATACTCATACTCATTTTTGACAGTACTGTACAGTGTACAGTGAACAGTCTACAGTACCGGACAGCGGATTACAACTGTACACTGTAGACCCTGTCAGTTGTACAGTATGAAAAGTCCTTTAATAGAATCCCTTATTAAACAGTATACTGTACTGTACTACAGTATACTGTACTGTACTGCACTGTACCGTACTGTACTGCACTGTTTACTCCTTCTTAACGTAAGGGCAGTGATCGCTAATCGTTGCAAAATATCTTTCAAAGCTGAAATGGCCGACGTAGAAAAGCTTCGAGAGTTAGCTACCGCTAATATTGACAAACATGCCGATGATTTATACTCTATCAATCAACAAATACATGCTAAACCTGAAATTGCACATCAGGAAGTTTTTGCTCATCAACTTTTAACCTCATTTTTAGCAAAACAAGGCTTCCAAGTGGAACAACATTACGCCTTGGAAACCGCTTTTAAGGCGACGTTACGATGTGGCAAAGGTCCTAATGTCGCTGTCCTCTGCGAATACGATGCACTGCCTAAAATTGGCCATGGATGCGGTCACAATTTGATTGCTGAAGCTGGTATCGGCGCTGCAATAGGCATTCAGGCCGCTATGAAAGCGATCGATGAGGGTCGTGACTTTGGTACGCTAACTGTTTACGGTACACCTGCTGAAGAAGGCCTCGGTGGCAAAATAGCCATGATTAAACATGGTTGTTTCAATGGTGTTGATTTTGCTATGATGGTTCATGGGAGCTCCTTTGACGCTGGTATCTCCAATTTAGCATCTATGCTCGATATAGGTATAACTTATCATGGCAGAAATGCCCATGCTGCATTGTGCCCATGGGATGGGATCAATGCTGTCGATGCTGCTGTTTATTGTTATAATTCTATCTCAGCCATGAGACAACATTTTAAGCCTACATGGCGTGTCCATGGCATCATCACCGATGGAGGTAAATTACCTAGTATTATACCTGATCAATCACAAATGCAATTCTATCTTAGAGCATTGTCTGAAAAAGATCTTCACATTTTGCTAGCCAAATGTGAAAGTTGCTTTCGTGGCGCTGCAACCGCTACAGGATGTACTGTCGATATCCAATATCGAAAAGTTCATAATGATCACTATATTTGTATGCTAAATAATCTCTCCATGGCAAACCGATATGAACAACATGCATCTCGTCTGGGTGTTCAATTTCCCAGTTATGCTCAGCAACTAACATTACCTGCCGGATCGTCAGACATGGGTAATATTTCACAATTGATACCATCAATACATCCTTTTTTCGATATTGGTACTAAGGTTCCCAAGCATAGTAGTGCATTTACTGAAGCTTCTGCTACTGCTATTGCTCACGAAAAGACGTTAATTGCCGCAAAATCGATGGCACTAGTTGCCATTGATATCTTTACGGATCCTCAATTTCGCCAGCAAATTATACAAGAATTCAATGATGCTAAAGTTGATTCTTAAAAATAGAAATGCGCTAATATTATTAACATGACCATAACTATTTTTATATGGACTGAAATGTAATCAATGTACAGTACAGCATAATCGTATCATCGTTAATTTATCAAGCACTTTTGTTGATCTTCCATGTTATGGCAACAAAAGAAATTTAGAATAGAAAGAATCAAGTTTACTATGTTATCAGTATAAAATCCAAGCAGTGAGCAGTTGAACACGTTAAAAAGATTTTACTCATTCTCATCAGGAGAACTTATGGTCATGATTGATCATTTTAAGTGCCTGAACTGATGCTATAAGAATTTTGCCGCAAGAATTATACCTCATTTGTTAATTAATTTATATCATATTACCAACACATTGTCTGAAATGGGATTGTTCATAAACAGTTGCAACTAAATTGTTATTATTATGGTATTGATATATTTTATACATATATTATAGTGATGTATTAATAATAACTGGTTATACTCCTAATTGAGTTAAAAATACTAGACTATCGGCCTTCCGTATAGACAGATGCCCTAACATTTCTTGAACGGCTGAAGCTATAAAATAAAAACATAAGGATGAAATAAAATTGAAAATAAATATATAAAAGTACAGTATAAATGCAATATTGGGTTTTGCTCAACTGTTTCATAGTAAAGAGTATGCTGTACGCAATCGTACTACGGTACTTACTCAACTACTACATCATAATAAGAGCGAAAGTTTGTATAGCCTACGCTATTTTAATGTGTAAAATTTTGCTTTAAAATTAAGTTTATTAGCCGGGTCGGCACACATGGCTGTGCGCAGTGTACTGTACCCTTTACATTTATGTATTTATTATTGATGTAGTAGCTCATCCTGCGCACTTCATCAGTTTCATCACAATTATTCACTTTAACTATAGTCATTATTATAAGACACCATTAGATTTATCTATGACTATATAGAAATTATGATTGTACAACTTTGCATAGTTTTATCATTTGATAAACTACTCATAGATGATATTGTTAGCATACGCTATATGATAAAGACTTATAATTTTATGGTTGATTCAATGCAATATTACAACAGAGATGCTCTTAACAATAAGCTAACACGATACAAAAAGTATGCAGTACTTTTTGCATCTATAGTTTAATATGATTACATCTTAATCGGTCTATATTGATGTAAAATTTTAATGCAGCGACTAGATTATAAATTCCCGTAAAAGTTTTACACTAGTTTTTGTGAGGATTAATTAGTTCATTATCACACTCTTGAACCTTGAAATCATGTGCAATACTATGGTACTAGGATCAACGCTTAACAAACACAATAAAACCGAAACAACCATATACTTGAAAATGAACACCTTTATTTGACTGCCGCTATGATAATTAATTGATAAGATAGTGCAAATTTTGTATTGTTACAATTATTAATTAGAGTAAAGGGTATTACTATCTATATATTATTATCATTTCAGATATCGGCTTTTCAATAAAGTTTTATTTCTATAGATAGCCAATGCCAGGTTAAAACATAGACCAGCCCTGGCATACAAGCATCGCATTACATTCAGATAGGACATAAACTGGATTTATTGACGAAATTAGAATTATACTGAGTTCTAATATTTATATTTATGCAGCATTTGCCAAGTAGTAATCGTGGACGTACATCAGTATAGCAATGGGTTGCCCAAGAATTAACGAAAGCCATACAGCAACGTTACCATAATTACCACTGAGGAATCGCGAGATAACTGAAGCTAAAGGAATCTATAATTCAAATTAAGATTTTAGCTGACTAACAATGAACGTTCTCAATTATATAAATACCGAAAAGTATTGATTTCTGTAATACCTGTGCAACCATACCAATGAATGACCACAATCTGAACATTCTTAACGGTACACTTACCAGGTACTATTAATATGGTGACGAATGATACAAATTAGACCAATAGATAGTATCGCTTTAATAATTCAATATCACCACTAAAGAGATATACTAACTTCGTGAAAAAATGCTGATATCAAGAAAACCACTGTTGAAGCTTGTGAATTACGAAAACCAGCCTTTAGCATTGGCTTGTAAACGTGCCTATATAAATCAAAAACATTGCTTTACTTAATATTATTAATTGATACTATAACAGTAGCAGATTGATTGACTATTACAATAACAAATGCCAAAAAGTTGAAACAACAATCCTTAGGTAAACTCATAATTAGCGTTTACCTAGTTGCCCAACGATGGACTGGAATATTCCAAGTTCGCCAAAAATATGGAATAGTTTCAGCATTCCTTCAAAGTATGCAATAAAGTCAGATGTACTTATGACAGCTCTTTATTTATGATTGTATATTCTAATAAGTTTACAAAGTTAATCCGTAATGTATTTTACTCTATAGATAAGACTTGAGCGGTCTCTTTAAAAGCACTATTTAATCAAATAACTACTTGTATAGAGTTAAAGGTAGATTGCTAAATATTTAACTAACCACCAATCTAGATAAAATTGTCTATCACCAAAATACGTAATTTCTCCTAGAATATTTAGGTAGGAATGAAAGTAACAGTAGAAGAATAGCAGCCAAATGAAATGATTTGGGATCTATCAAGAAAATGAATAGATAAGTATCACGTAAATTAACTATTACAGCACTCAACCCAAAGTCAACAATTATAATGAACTTACTGCCAATTTTAACATTCTTTCAATCATACGATAATAGTCCATTTCCTATTATTAAAAAATGCAATAATCTATTCATTAGCAAGAAGAATCTCGATCGTATCTTAGAATAAAATATTCAGATTCATACATCAAAGGGCTGCATTGAGTTCACGACTGCAGGGATCATCCACTGTTGGATTAACCCCATTATAAGTTGTAACAATAAAACCTACAAAAACATTTTAATGGTCAGTATTAAAAGTAGGGAATAATTTTGATTAATTAGTTTTAATTATTATAAATAGCAAAAGACGTTTATATTTACTAGTTCCACTATCCTACGAAGTAGAAAATTCTTTCTTATGTAAGGTGTTTTAGGGAAATTAAGTTCATAGCAAAGAGTCGGAACAAACATGAAATAGTATAAATCTACAAACAGATGCGTTAATGAAATGAAATTAAGATTAGAAATTTTATCAATGCTTTGCTATCTTTTGATTCTATGAACAAGAGCCCAAATATAACTTAAAAAGATCGTAATGGTATTTATATACCTTTTAAGGTCAGATTATTCGGGTATTGAACTAAATCTTTGGGATGAACGTCTTTGACAGCTTTAAGAACTAATAAAAATATATATCAATATAATTATGAACCTTTACAATTACTCTACATAATACGAATAATAGCAATAGTAAAGCTTAACTAGCAAATAATATAGTCAATAGTTAGCTTTGACGTAGTTAGGAATTAATTAAACTAACTCTGCACATCAGGTGTTTTCTGTTTCTTGGACATTTTATCTTTACGACACCATCTATTGACATCTTTATAGGAGATTAGCTTAATAAATGCCATGCTATACGTAGAGCAAGCAAGCGATGACCAAACTAGAGGATACAGTGATTTTATAAATTAATATTTCGTGAAAGAAGGTAATGCAAAAAAAGATATCATTTTAATTATATCATTTCAACAAGATGATATGTTATTGGTTTCTAATAATTGATAATCGCTACATTGATATAGTTTCTTAACTTCTTAAACACTTTTTTGGTTAATTATAATTATTAAAACATACTAGGCGTAGGTTGATAAACAAATACGTAGACCAATGGAATAATTAAAATAAAAAAGCTGTTGATAAAGTGTAGAGCAGAGCCAAGTGATTCCTGTATATATGACTAAGGGATAAATAAGACCGATTACAATAATTGAAATAAAGAATTAGCTATTACAGTGAGCGAATTCTAGGTCTCCATATGTAGAAAAAGATGCGTTTAAAATTTAGTTTAAGAGAATTTAGATTGCATCCTTTACCTTAGAAAGGGCTAATTCTGTGATATATGCCGTCAGAATCATGACATTACTAACTGTAAATAGAGAATATAAAATATACGATGACCATAAATGCTTTAAACATATATCATAATTATTATAATATGTTAGCGATTACATTGATTAATATTAGTACAATAGCAGTTTCATGGTAAATTAGGGTTGATTTTGTTAATTTTGTGACCACTGTACAATGAATAAGCAATTACTATAATTATAAAGAGTCGGTCTATCATTTTACTAACAGCTAATCAAAGCCAGTGCTCGTACGTTGTGAGGATCTCGAATTAGATATTCTAACCATTGTGTTGGGTCCACAAGAACTCCATATCTAATAAGCAGTTGAAGTGATACCGCATTTTCATCGTTAGCAAGAGTAAAGATTAAAGGCTAAATATCTTGTATATCTATTTCATCCAATCGTATTAAATAATCCCTTTATCACTACAGTGTATACAGCATAAGTAGTATTCGTGAATGGTGAACAGCACACTTGAATTATGTACACATAACATAATCAATAGTCTGCCTATGACAAACGATGCTACGCATACGCAGTCATTGTATTTTTATAGATATCTACTGTATACTTACTTTAATAAGTTATCCAGAGCTACCCTCATATTTGATAATATCTGGAACAGTTAGATGACAAATATTAAGGAAATATCATCCATTTATTATCCACGTATTTTTGAATTCATTAAGACATAGACAGTTTATTACTGAGGCTTGTTATCAATTATCATCAATAAAGAAGAAATCGAATATTACCGCGGTTGTAGCGCATACGAGTATATACGCGTATATTACGGTTTGGATAAATCTCATGTCATATTTTATTATACTATGCTAATATATTTAATTCAAATTTTAGCTGAAACTGATGGTATTTTGATTTCTGTCTATGATTATACAATGAACAATGTAGATGTTCATCAATACTAGACGATAGCGCTAAGACCGACTCACCAGGAGAACGATGGCTAAATTAATAATTCCACGATAATTCTGAAAGCCAGAGCCAGTATGAAGATAAGAATCTTGCATAATATGACACCTACAATAAAAATGATAAATATTAATTCAGTAAGGGTAAAATTTAAAATTAATGGCAATAAATTTACGAATTATTCTACTCTAAGAACACGTAGACTGATCCATTACTGGTTTCTGCTGCATCATGTCAAGTTAATAAAATTAGCTTTGATGCCTAGGGTATTAACGCAATTTCTAATACACGATAATCTTAGGTAAGATTTCAGCAAGATCCAGCAGTACAGATGATCGTATTTGTCTAATCCTTGTTGTAACGAGGTGAATAAAGTAAGAGGTCAAAATGTGCAATTTGCATCCTGGTCAGTATACTCGTAGTGCACTGTACGTATGTGATACGCATAAGGCCAGTGAGGCCTAGAGTAGCAGTCATGTTTTTGTAGATCTGTAAAAATTGATATTATTTTATTTCATTGACGCTCATAATCTTTCTATTTTTTGCTTTTAGACGCGTAGTTATGCAGTACCGTAATACATAAATATTAATCATTAGTTCTCGTACCCTTAAGGGAAGGGGTACTTTATGTGATTCATATTAAATAATACATTAAACGTCAATAACACACTAATCATAACATTAGAAGCAAAATTGATTCGATTCGGTGCATTTTGGATAACTGTAGATGGCACAAGTTGAGTTACCTGTCAGTGCCTTGATGCTTGTTCGTCATCAGTCTATTACAATTACAATCGTGATTTTCTTGATCTATTTTAACTATTTCAACTCGTACAGAGTACTACAGTTACGATAGTGGGCATCCTTCCTTAAAAGGATTACTGGATATTGCAACCACTTCATATAGTATAGAACACCGCAGGTACTATTTTGGATATCCTTTTATTAAGCAAAGAATGTGGCACGTCTTGCACGGTATAAATAACATGACCTTTTGCTGCGTTACATTGTCAATACTCCGTCTCTAATTGCAAGGTTGTATTGTGCATTCTGTGCTTACTTTCAATGGTTCTATCCATGATTTACGAGCTCAGCTACGATATTTTATAAGAGGAAGATGATGGTTGAGCCATTAGGCTTGAATCTTGCTCAATTTGGCTATGATGACGTCGTCGTTGTCAGTAAATCGTTCTAAATCAATTGTTTATTCTATTTCAGCATCTTGAGCTGATGGATGATTCATTACCCTACAGTACCGTACTCGTTTGATCGCCAAGGGAATAATTATAGAATGATTGAGAGAAAGAAAGATCATTTCTCAATGCGTCGAATTGGTTGAATCGACATCATCAGTAGAGCGCATAAGCAATTTGCACCTTTCATGGCTGCAATAGGCGTACAATAACACATGTAAGAAAGACATCCGAGATGTACATTCTTTAGCTACTCTATCACTATAACGACAACTACTGTCTGTATAATCCTTTTCTTATTGTTGTCATTATTCTTGATCGATGGAATATTAAGCAATCCTTCTCCAGTCATGTACGCAAATGAAATGATACAATTATAATTCACTTACGGTTTATCGGATAGCTTTGATTTTTTCAGTAGTAATTGATCATCAGCTTTCTTTTGTAGCAGTACATCGTCTGATCCTAATCCAGCGATCGATTTCCGATGGCGTAGAGTTGTATTATCATTGCTATCATTAGTCTTGTCAGAAGACATTATTGATTCATCAGTCTGTATTGGAACAGGGATATCAAGCCAAATAGGGAAAAATGGATAAATAGTTTACAGTTAATAAATGATCGTTAATGACTAGTTGATTGATTGCTGGTATTGCAAAATTATCCAAATCAACAATGATGAAATGGCTTAATTTTCCATCGGGATTTGACTACTGAGTAGTGACCCCCGGCCAGGGTGAAGGGGTCACGTCGGTAGTCCCCTAGTTGACACTTGGGACTCGAGTCTAGCATGGCCATCTGCTATGTTGGCTTCTAGTCAGCAGCGTATCGACTTTTCCTTTCTGATACATTTTCTACTGTCGTCCAAGACTGCATCTGCACCATAACTCGGGATGGCCAAGAGGGTAGCGTAGGGTATCAAACCAATCCAAAAATTCGAGTCTATTGTATGGCTGGGGACAATGGCAAGCGGTGTCACCTGTCTTCAGCGGTTCACTTGTCATTGTACAGTGTACAGTGTACAGTACCAGAGTAAAGTACGTACTGTAACAGTCGACAACCAGTTCATACTAGACCTGAGAAAGGTTCGGTTCAGTGGGCAGTGTCCTGTGCTACAATATACAGTACAGTATAATACTGTACACGTGAATGGGTAGCTGATGCGAAACAGACTACAGCAAATCGTTAGCCAGTGTCGGATTAATTAATGGACAACTTGACTTGTTCCTATTAGAATTAATTCCCATAGAATTAATTTGTTAATTAATGAGCAAGCTAATTAGAATTTCAATTAGCCAAACATATTATTAATGTTCCTACAATGCTGCCAATACTGTTGTACATCAGGGAGGTTAAGTAAACACTATCGTATTTTTAACTCTATTTCATTAGAAATGATAAAGATGGGAGAAAATTGATTATTAAAAAGTGATCGGCAAGTACATATGGACAGCAATAGTCAAGAAGAGATTTTCAATAGTGACAATTAGACTCTATAAAGTAATACATCGCGAATAATGACTGTTATGGGCTATTATAAAGGTATGGTCTTTTTTAACAGTCCATGTTACTGCATCCATAGAGGTAAAAGAAAGAGCTTTCTCTTACCTGTTGGACTAGACATATGGACAATAGCCGTATAGAGTTTTAATAATACCAAATAGACTCGACAAAGTGACATTTCGACAACAATCACATAAGCACATAATTTGGTATTTTACTGCCATTATTGGCTAGTATTTGACTGGATATACTTGAAGTGGTTGCCAATTGCATTTAATTTATTACCAAATTCGAAAGACATTCAAGAAACCCCCCGTTAAAACTCTCAGCTTTTATATCCTCGATGGCGAATTGTGCTGTAGGGTGTTTGCAGAATTGATCATTCTAACATTGCTGTATGTTTCATTCTTTGTCACAGGTACTATGCTAATCTTTACCCCTTTCAAAATGTCATTACAAGCAGTGATGCAAGTCTGCTTGTACAGACTGCATGCACAAGTATAGGATTACATACTCGTATAGACGCAATAGCGGTAAAAAGTGTTCAATAATGACAAAGGGAATCTACAAAGTGATATTTCGACAACAATTACAATCATATAAGCACATAATTTACCATTTCGGCTTGTATTTGATTGGAAATACTTGGAACGGCTATAAATTGTACTCAATTTATTTTCATAAGGTAAATTATAATTATAATCGAATATACCGTACATATGGACAATAGCGGTAAAGAGATTTCCAATAATAACAAATAGACTATTATAATCGAGTAGCCCGTATACTTAGAAATGCAGTAAAAGAAAATGCTTACTTGTGTGGCTGGATATATGGACATTGGACAACAAGGGTAATGCGATTACTAATAGCTATAGTCTCTACCAGCTGATGCTTGGTCAATTTACTGTAAATGTGCACAGCGTCGGCACAAAATGATTGAACTCAATACTGTTAGCTAAAAGAAAAAAAATTACATGCCTTTAATACTCAGGCTAAATACAACTCTGCTTCCGGAGCTTATGGTCTAGAAGGATGAATTAATGCGAAAAAAGCTTCTACAAGCACAATCAGCTAATACACTTCATTTATCGATATCAATAACGGCGGTATATACTCGGTAGATCCAAGCATACTAAACTCACGTTACTATACATATATTCATAATTATATAATGAATTAACTATCCTACCTTGGTAATTTCTTGATGACAATGCATTTAAGGAAGTAATTATATATATCAGTAGCACATACCCGGTAGTTAGTATAATTTATTAATTTCATTAATTTACCACAGGAGTTCACGCTACCGTTAGTAGCGTACCGTGCAGATATCCATTATTCACTATTCCATTTTAGTATTTTATTCTACGTTAATAAATTTAGGGTCAATATAACTTTCAATCGATAAAATGTATCATCTGCCCACATTTTTACTGGCATGAAAGCAATTTAATTTAAAAGAAAAATTTTATTAGGCTTATGCCACATAATGATTATTATTAACATATTAGTTTATTCTAGAATTTGACAATTAATTTTTTCTCGTAGTATCAAGAATAATGATGTAATTGTTATATCGAAGTTAAATTTTACTAAATAAAGTGTAGCTTTCCTTAACCGTGTCATCTTAAAAAACGAATAAACAAGGAAAGTAGGATCGGTATACTTGTGAGAACTTGATATACTCGCATTAAATTACTTATATTATGATATCGACAACTCATTATATGAAATTAAAGATGGAAACACTGTATTTCATTCAGTAATATCATATATCAAAATAAGAGGGAGCAACCTGTTAGTTAAAACTCTGTATAAACTAGAAGATAGGGTAGTTTATTAATTATGATCAATATACTTATGCACTAGTTCGAGCCCGGTAACCATATATTAAGCTTCTCACTTAGATAATCGTATTATGGAGGTGCTCCAATAGATCAACGATCGCTATAACTGTATTTTACTGATATCGCCAGAGTTTTACATTTAAGAATAATAAATCAGAAATTCACGTCAAAGTGCTACTGCAGTCATAGTACTGCAACTACCCAAATTAATACTTTACAGTCATTAGCCAATGAATGTTAATTTGTCGTTTAATTAATTGTTAGAGTTAAAATAAAAGGAAGGAACTAATTATAAAAGATTACAAGGGATACAATAGATCACATGAAAGCCGCATAGAATAATGTATCATTTAGTAGCTGCATACGCTCCACTATTAATATAAAATTTTGCATCGGTATAACAGACAATGTCGTAAAAACATTGAATAGTATTCGATACAATACACACAATGATTCATACTCCGAGCCATCAATTGGTGCCACCAACATGTTTACTCCGAGTCGTAAACCCATAAATCGCGATATTGCTGTACTATATCGACATTAAAAGCGATATTAGTAGTGCGATCCAAGCCATAAAATTAGATACCGTTATATATCGCAGTTTTGGCTGCGGCAAACGAGTATAATTATTGAGTTGATCGTAGAGAATCACCTGTAGAATCTATTTCTACAATCTATCCGTAGTTTTCATCTGCCATTTTTATATAGTATACAGTAAATCCTATTCATTTCTTCCAGCTTGCTAGGTTTAAAGTTAATATTACTTCCATAAACGGATTAGTTTTTCAGAAGAAGTTGGACTTTGTTTTCCATATTGTTAATCCTTTCAACGAATCAACTATAACATTTTTACTTATACCCGTGACTGGTACTATCGGATGACCTACAAAATGGCAGCCGTTTACTTTGTAACAGGTTTACTCCTTTTGCTGCTAGGAATTGGTAACGCTGTTATGGCTCTATCAGCAACTATTGATATAGCCTTCATCGTAAAAAGCCTTAATCCTACAGATTTATTTTCTACTCCATCCGTTCTTGGCAATTCGGTAAGGAATCATTCAGACAAAGTAAAAATCGAAAACATTCCCAGTGGTAAAATCAATTAATGACTAAACCTTTATTCGATTACTAACTTATAATCAAGATTCCTTTTAGTTAATAAAGATGAGACTTATTTTTCTAAGTAGATTATCATTTTCATCTAAATTAAGCTAATTATAAGTTAGAAGGCAATTAACATTTCCTTGAAATGGTGTCATTGTCAGTTGATTACAATTATGCTACCTAACTCAAATGGATGCTGCCCTTTTTACCGATCTTGTTCAATACATCCAAATACCGATCGTAAACATTTTTGAATAAACTTTTCTTAGCTACCTAGCCGGTAGAAGTTAAAATCTTCACTTCACAGAGTGAAATGAAACTCCATAAACTTCAGATGGAACATGAATAATACTTTTAAAGCGCGTTTTTACTCATAGTAGGCCAATAATTATAATCAGTATTGGTATAGCAGCAGAAACTGCAGACAGATCGTCAGCGTATTTCTGTCAATATTTGACAAAGACTACTATTGTTACTTTTTCGTTTCTGATGCCTTAAAAATACGAGCATTTTAACTACTGTACTATATGATCATTATGAATTGTAATTAGAATTGCTTAAGAATAAGATTCATAATTTTAAAGTAGATTGAAATATTGACTAGTTCTAATGTAGAAAAAGATATGCTAAAACAGTTTCCTTAGTAGCATAACTCACAGTAGTGAGCTGAAATGCTTTTATTACCGTACTCTTGCACGATGAAAATCTATTTATAATCTTTTATTAGACATTGAGTAGCATGAGTATCATGAAAATAGCGAATAAGTTCAACATTACAAGCCTGATCGCCTATCAATAAATTCATTTAATAAACAGCATGCGAGAAAAATTTACCGTTAGCTAACTTGCAGTGGATCGTTAACATAACGAGTACAGATTATCCGTATAATAAACTATTGATAAAAATTACCAAATTTTTATCTTTGAGGCATAGCTTTATTTCCTCTTAATCTCATTCTTGCAAAATTATCGATAATTATGTAATAAAAAAGGCTTGAAAAGATCTAAATTATTTATTTTCTCCGATTTTATAGATGATTATTACTGGGATTCTTTCTATCATTCAATATTTTACTCCCACTAATGCAATGGTACGTTTATTTACAAACTGCTTTAGATAGCATAGAGAAATAAATAAATTTGATTTCGATATAGCAAAATGATATTCATGATTAGTATCCAGTTTGCCTTTTAATTTGAAGTGAGAATGAATGTTTCCATGCCATTTAGTTATAGATACGATACGCAAATCTAATCGTTCTACCTTCACCTAATTCTTTTTTTGCTTTTATGTTCTAGTTGGTTGCTATTTATATCTTCAACATTCATACCTTAACATTACTACCGATATCCATCTTTACTTCCATCTACTACTATGCTACTATTCCACGATTGAATTTAGCAACTCGTCAATCTATCGCCATTTTTGCAGTTATTGTCCTTTTCTATCTATCTACAATCATCATTTCCGTTTACATTGCCATGCAATATTTCACCGATTTTATAACCAGTCGTCATTATCATAAGCTATCTGATTTAAAAGAGGAACAAAATAGTGACAGATCCATTAATGAGGGTGAAATAGCCTTTCGTCTTTCATCGACCAAAAAGATTAGAAATGTAGCCATATTTCAGTTAATATGTAGCGGTGTTCTTATCGCATCTGGACTGGCAGATCTTTTCTTGTTTCAAGGTTTATACAGTAATCAGACATTTTATGCTGGCAGCTTAGTAAGTTTTTCTTAAAAAGATAATGAATTACTTCGACTTCAATTTCGAAATTTAAATGCCTGTTTTGTTGTTATTATGGATATATTTATCAACCCTCAATTAATACAATTTTATATAAATAACTAAAATACTTATATAGTTATGTGTGACCAGCATTTGTGGAATTCTTTCGGAGCATAAAAACATTGACGAAGGGGTAGGCAGACTTTGGTTTATTGTATGAATAAAATTTCCTCTGCACTATAATTAATTTAAAACTATAATCATATAATGCAGCGATGATATTAATGACGTATACTCACTCATACATTATTATTATTAATTTAAACTTCCCATGTAGATGATTTGGTTTGGCATATTATCGCGCGTAAGCCGCTTAATATGTATTTCAACAATCGGAATCAATGTTCTTGCCTATCTTAATACTTCAGCAGCAGCTCTATATGAAGATCCGGACAATATTCGTTCCTTATTCATATGCGTGTCTGTTATGTTGGTACTGGGATTTTTAACTTCGTTTTATATTACGTTAAAGCTGACGTCGAATATTGGCTTCTTTAATGTCATCTCTGTATGGAAAAAGCGACGTGCGGAACAAAGTTATAAACCAGAGCTATGCTCACTCACTACTGTCTTGAGCACTATCCAATTTTTGGCTGCCTTATTTTTATGGGCTAGTGGAGTCGCTGCTATGCTTTATGGTAAAGCTCAACACCTCTCTTTCAGTACTTTCTCTACCGCTAGTTGGGTAAGTTTTTTATACTATTAATGATGATTTAAGTAGGTGTTGCATGTGAAAAACATAATAACCATGATCAAACCGAAATCTAATAAGAAGATGAATATATTGGACCGTGGATTGCTAAAAAATATCATATTTTTCAGTATTCCATGGATAGGCTAAGTCCAAATTCTCACTTAGGATAATGTGCGCCATAAGATGAGAGTTTGTTGCAATAGCTGAAGCTTAATCGTTCTGTTTTCATTTCTGCATTTAGGTCATTGTAGCAGCTAAAGTTGGCGTAAGCCTTAACCGGATGAAATCTGTTCAAATTGTAAGTAGAAAGACAGCAATGACATGGTATACAACTGTTTTAGAAGTCTATCATAAATAAAAAAGATAAATACGAGTATATCTACTGTACATATATGAGCACATATTAAATAGTTAAAAATTTTAATAAATTTCACCAAAGATATCATTCTCTTATTTTAATTAGAACATACCTTACGTGGCAATATCTATTTTATCTACTTTGCTGCTATTGAATAATATGATAGTCACTGGCATGGAGTACTATCGCTTGTATAAAAGTGACATAACCATTCGATTATCCATTCAAATTACTTTCGGCTGCATCATAGGTGCTGCCATCATTTCTTTCCTCATTACCTTTTTCTCAGCCATAAAGATTGCCTGTGCAAACGATATTACATGTCGCAAAATAACTCCTACTTCAAAGGTACAGCATCGAAAGATTCATGACCTGACTCATATTTTTATTGATCTCCGTTGACATTTAAGTCCGTAAAGCGAAACGATTTCCACGTAGACAACTATTTCACTAGTATTTATAAAAGATTTAAAGAATATCAGTAGACTTAATTTAGTATTAGTTGATAGCACTGAGCATTCCAATATACTTGTATGTAAAGATACATTCGCAATATAATATCTTAAATCTAAGCTACCAGAATAATTTAGGAAAATACGTATACTCGTATCTATTATCGTCATTCTTTTTTATGGTGTATTTGGGCTATGAAATAGATCGACTATGGTAAATATTGGAAAAGTATTTTGATTTAAGGACTGCTTTAATTCTCAATATATACCAGTATCGTATAATAGGGATACTTGGATATTTGTTGTTATTACTGCATCATGCTTGTAGTTTTAAACTGGAATTTTAAAAATGCGATAAATTCGTCGATTTTCGAACTGATTAAACAATCTCACCTAATCTTGGATTCTGATCAATTCTAGGCTACTAATACACGAAAACTAACGAAAGACATGGGATCAAGGAACATGCTAACTGCTAATGAAGATAATAATGAACAGGAGGACTCAAGAGAGTCTGCAAACTGAGAAATCTTTCATTCGTTTCTCACTAATCTTGAAGACATCATTCCCTATTTTTCGTTTATTTCTTTCCAGGAATGAGGCATTAATATCTAGTGTTAATGATAAATTACATATCCTAAGTGAATAAATAACTTGTAGTCTTTTTAAAGACGAAATAATCTATGTTTATATATCTTTCTGAACTGTAATGATCTCATTCCATTTTAGTTAATCTACGGTAATACACGAAAAGAAAATCTACAAAATTGCATTTGTAATTTATTTCAATCTAATCATGCATGTATCCTATACTGTAATACCAAGCAGGCGGTTTAGCCTAACGATATCTTAAATACATAGTTGGATATGGGATATTAAACTTAGAATATATTATTGAGCTAATATTTATGAGTGCTTATCGTTAATAAATGAATTATAGCCTCAGTGCATTATTGACGTCTCTTTGTTCATAAAATACTAGTCGTCAACTCGATAATTTCAAATAGGATTTTTCAGTTACCTCCTTTGATCGTTACTTTATTAACGGTAAGATCATTAGACCCTATCTAGGAACGTATTCAAAATCTTTAGCTCGATTATGACAGTACGTAGATAGAATATCTTGGCATTTAAATCGAAACATAGTCATTTAATCCATTAACAATTGTCCCAGCTTCAATATTTTGTATTGTTAAGTAGATAAATTACGAATAATGGTTATAACTTGTACGAGTATTAAAATAGTCTTAAAGATAACCAAGAGGTATAATCTATGATGGTAAAGAAAGTGAAGACGCTATATCTTTTATTAAATACGTATTATTGAAATTCTATCTAGATGAGATTATGAATATTTTATGCTATTCCATTCTCTGATTACTTAATATCGCGGGTATAATTTCTTAGAAAATAAGAATTAATCTATGCAGACGTACACATATCTTTGACTATTCAAGCAGTTAGTCTTCATTTTGCAACACAGTTTGTAGATATAGCGTTAAAATCGGTAAAAGGATTTGTAATATCAGCGTTGAAAGAATTCAGACGTAATTAAAGTACCTATTGGATAAATAGGTTGCTATCTTCAATTTAGAGTTGTAGAAGCAATAGATTGAATTTTAAAACAAAAATTTTCCTTAAAGCTATTTGATAGCAATACCCTATTTCCAATAGATTGGCCTGACTTTTAACAGCGACTTTGCTAACATTTATGGCCGTTATCGAATACATAGTATTGACCAAGCTCAATTAGACTTTACGAAGGTACATGTAGAACCCTTGTAAAGATTTTAAAATAAAACGTCATTGGATTACATAACTTTATTTGAATTGTGAAACCCTAATAAAATCGGATACCGATATTAATTTGTATTTGGGGTAATGGAAGAAAAAAATAGACGAACTGGGTTCATTTTCTCACAATCGTAGAATTACCTTTAGAATCCCTTTGTATTTGAAATATCATCCCCAGGCCCCCCAAAACAGGATATCTTCATACTCGTTCATGGTAGAAATAGTGTTAGGATTGCATTAATTAAGAACATCGAGCGGAAAACTTTCCTTCCAAATCCCCTACAACGCTATCTATTTATCAAAGGTATTTCAATAGCAAGATAGAGACAACATGCTAGGACAGGTTAGGTTGGTTTATTTTCTCACAGTTCAGATGAACTGTAGGATTGTCCAGAAAATTCTATTCTCTTGCTCTGTTAGCATAACTTGGCCCCCATTCAGATTTAAAATAAAAGATTGTAATTAGTGGATCTTCCCGCCTTCTTGAAATGAGATGACAGGTTAATTACCGGGTACAGATCTCAGTTATAATTATGGTTCATTAAGATTACAATACCGTCGTGGGTAAATAGGGTTGATAACCAGATTCAAATGGCCGTACACACATATAGAATAACAGCTATTAAAGTATAAAGACGAGTGGAGGAGTCGATAGACGAAAAAGTAATAGTAGTATTTATATCTTGTACTCCAATGGGCTCGATGAATAGGTCCAGTTCCAGATATTTTGAAAATGATCCTTTTGAAAATTAACTTTACTTTGTTATAAGGTACAAGAAAAGAATAATTGGAAGAGATAGAAGAGAAATAATAGGAATATCTACAACGTATCTGTTCTTCGATAGGTTGGATAAATTTATAGAATGAGGAGCCCTTTTGATAATCGATCCTTTTACAATATACGGCCTCGTTATGTATGGTCAAACTGTTTCGAGTTCGTACTGAAATCGAATTCTTAATTAGTACCGAAGTTACTAATATATGTGCTACAATAAGATGCAATGCTCGTGTAGTTTAACATGATTAGCTGCTGGTGCTCTAGCAGGATATAGTAATCTAATCCCCGTGCTTAGCACATGAAAGCATAAACACATATATTAAGCGTTATGATAATGTGTTACTACCATTCCTTGACAGGTCATGCGCTGGAATTTATAAGTGTGCATCGAGTAAATCGGGAGTTCTTCTCGTCAGTTGTTGTAGATACAGTTACGGTTTAGTTTTATTGTAATAAAGCTTAGATTAGTTTTCATCAATCCAGAGAATCTGATTTCTTATGGGCCCTAAGCATTAGCTTCGCTACAAACGCCAAACTCGACTTAAAAATAATTGTTTCGAAAATTTGCCTTATTTTATCGGATAGGAGTAAAAGGTTTATGCTAATGGGTTAAAAGAATGATCAAAACTGATCCTGAAATTACATATTAAGGTTATCATCTTCATTAAGCACCAGAATAATTAAACCTTTATCAAGTTGCCTACAAGAAGTTAAGTATATCAGTATTTGGACCATATTTAACCTTGGATTAGAGAAAATGATTAAATTATACCAATAAAGTCTACTAAATTCTTATCCTTTATTACTTCTTTCGGAATAGATCAGATCTTTAAAATGTGCACACCCTATCAGTCTCAATTTATATTTAAAGCTAGTACTGTATGCCTTACCATCTACGTCTAACAGATTCGAGGAATAGCCTTCCATATTAATCGGCTATAATCCTTTACCATTGCGATTACTATCCTCTAAAATTGTACTCTACTGGAAAAATTTGTCTTATCCTATCAGTAGATAGAGTCCGGTATTCACTGACTATGATACCACATAGGGAAAACTTCCGAGGTTAAGGGTGAACACCCAACATAATTACATAAGCTGTACTAATAAATCATTAAGCCGTAATAGTATATGTTATAACATCAACCATATCACCGGTTACATCAGCTATAATCTAATATCATTGTAGTCTGAAAAGCAAACAGTATAGGTGACAGGTCTTGGATCATGTCTAGTATCTATATCCATATTATGAATTAATTTTTCATTCCGATAGTAGTAAAATTATTATCGTAAGTTAAGCAATGGTAATAACAATTTACTATCTATATTCTTGTGTGAAAATGGTCATATTATCGCAAGTCCGTTTTGATGTCTATCGTGGATAACATATTTTTATATGGTGCAAATAATTAAATAGAGAATAACTTTCTGCCTCCATCCATTATCGGTACGATTCTTGCATTATATCAACCTCTGAATATAAATGATCAAAAGAAAATAGGTTAATCTGATATTAAACTGAATGTCGAGTCATTAATATACCACCAACTGCTACGCCTGTTCATTATATTTCTATATTATATATAAGGTCTACAGAGAAGATTATTCGTACAATATTCGAAAAAATTAATTCCCAGTATATGCTTTCTTTAAACGTAATTTTAAAACGATTTTGAAAATACCATTGAATAGATATACTGTCAATAATAATCCTTGATGGAAACTTCTTTATTTTACTTCGTTCAACACTTTTTGAGCTTTAATATTAAATTAAATTAATCAATGTACATTTAAACACATACTCCGATAGAATATTTAAATTATGAGAGGGATTTAAGAACAAAGAAAATTGCATCAATCTAAATTTTAAATGTAAGCTCAAACTTATTCCATATTTGCGAAGACGAAGGTGTAAAAGGGGAAAAGATAATAACAGCTAATATATTGTAATGGATGAAGTCTTGAAATGTATAATTACTGGTATACTAGCCATCCTAAAGAATATTACCCAAAATTTTATTCACTAATTGAAAGCATGGCTACATTGTTTTAACAAACCCATTTCTTTTCACTGCCAATCTACTAAAGTTCATGAGTTTTAGCAACTAACAACAATAGACATAATTTATTAATTCTTTATTCACTTCCTATAGGTCATCATTTGATTGAATATTATAGTAAGTAAAGCTATTATTGGTGTGGAAGGTACTCCTACCTTGATATTTTATAATTTAAAATTACCTTAACGGCGCAGATATAACCTTCAAATGGCTGATTATGACTGAATACCTTGTACTCATGAATCTCAATTATAATTACCAGTACAATTGAATAAATAATATCATTGCAAACACGATGATAGTGTTTATAAGTTTATATGGTAGAGGCTTTGTAACATTTAAATAAGGAACTTTCACAATGCAAACCGTGTTAAAAATTGAAATGAATACTATAATTAAAAATAGTGCATCATAGTAAATAACTTCGCATATTTACAATTGATGTTAGATAAAGACAATATATTAAAACTTTATTCATAAAATCTTACTTTAATCTATCGTCATTTATCCTTTTTTATACAAATATCTCCATGTATGCATACGAATAGCCAATAGAAGTTGTAGTCTAAACCCACTTATTTATCGGAAACGCTGTACTTACTATAATATTCGTAATAATCTTTCATTTCAGTGCTGGTACTAAGAAGACAGTATATTTGGATTCGAATAAATGAATTAATTATAGACCAATAGATATAGTATTATCACCATCACTCCATAAAGGAACGAACTAACTAACGAAACTAATAAAACATTTGGAAATAAAAGACAATTTTCTACTATCCGTAGTGAGAAATAGGATATAGTATTGTAAAATAATATTGTTTCAAATTGGACATTTTCCTGGAATAAAATAGAATTGATTGACATCCCTTTCTGACGAAATAGTT